CTTTGCTATTGTTACTTTTAGTCCAAGCATTGCTGTGCTCATCTGCTAGTTTCTTATAATTAAACAAGTGAATTTCATATTAATAATGTAAAATGGAACTTTTAAATGATACAAACATCTATAATGATCATAAAAGAATTCATGACAGTGGTCTATGAGGTCAGAAAGATTGGTAACTGCTGATTTAAACTATTTACAGTAGTATTTTCTTTTTACTTTCTCAGCTCTTATATATAACAAAGGGAAAGTATGGTGATCTGTCAAAAAATGAATGACCTTTCCCATGATTTCAAGGTCCAGAGTTCAAAAATGTTGAAAATGCACGTGTATGGGGAGTATGATTTTGTTCACTCTCTTTCAAGCTTAATAACTTCTGTGCTTATTGTTGAATATTTTTTTAAAATTTTGCAGGGAGGTTTGTTTATTAGGCACATTGATACTATTGAATTTATATGGTTAAAGGTCAAATGGTAGGGAGGTAAATGCAGGGTTCTTACTCAAATTTTTATTTTAAATTTCATTACATTCCCTGACTAACTTTGTACAAATTCCCCCTGATCCTCACAATATGGCACATTGACAAAATAAGACAGCATTTGACTTAGTATGCACTTATGTTTTGCTTCTCCAACATTATAATTAGTTATTTTTTCTAATTGCTGAATTATTAAAATTAAAAATTAATAGAATTATAATAATACATTTTTTTCTCAATTGAATAATCTATTGCTTTTAGCTTTGATGATGATTTATTTAAAGTCTGTATTAATTATACACGTATACACACGAGGGTATGGCTCTCTATGACAATATATAACACACTGAACACTTAAAATGCATTTCGGACTATACGTCCCGCTTCAGTTAGGGTTCAACAAATTGTAAATTATAAAAATATACATTAAATAGGCAATTTAAAAGTGACAATGATGGTGATGTTTAACAAATGTAAATTTTTCCAAGATTATCACTTTCTCTGCTTTTTTCTTTAGCCAACAGGAACACTAAAAATATAAATAGTAATTTTTCATAAATTATATTTAAAGGTATGGGTGTACTGTCATTGATTCTTTTATCCGTTTTAATGTTTAATCTTTCTAAATGTTCATAGTCTTTACTTTTTTTTTTCCTTTGGTATTGCTTTCGTATTGCATCTTTTACTATTTCACAACCTTTAGAATTACAATGTTTAGCTACTGATGAATTACGCATATTATATTTAATTGCATTTATATGTTCCTTTATCCTTACTTTAAGACTTCTCTTTGTAGTTGTGGTGAAAAAATGATATATATAGATAAAACAGTTAAATTTATAGCCTACATTACTTTCTAAATTATTCGTATTTTTTCTTACTTTATTATATTTTGTATAAATTTACAATTTGTTGAACGCTAACTGAAAATACATTTTGGATTATGCATCCCTCTTAAGTGTTGTGTGCTATATATTATCGCAGAGAGCCATACTGATTGTAAAAATTATCATTAAAGATTTTATAATCTAACCTGTTCATCGGTGTGATAAGCCCTCGTGTGTATAATTAATACAGACTTTAAATATATATAATCGATATACAAAAGTATATATTTATTAAATTTATCTCTTTATTGATATTTTATGAAGTTCAGGAAATTTATTAACAATTTCTGATTTTTATTTCCCCAGTTTTGTTATGCAATCAAAATTATTAAATAGTTTAAATGGCATTATTTATCATTTTGTAAATATTTTGGGTCCTCAAATTATTCTACACACCTTTTCATAAGTTGTATTGAACCAGATTACATCATGCTGCCTATGGATGGCTACATTTAGTCAAGCATACTGTCAGCAAAACATCAACGAGGCAGCCAAGGAAACAAATTCCCTTACTTTTTCTGAACACTGATGAAAATTCCCGATTTTTCCGTGACTTTCCAGTGTGTAGGAACCCAGTAAATGGGGGCCGAGTATCATATCTTGTAGGGTCAGACTTAATAACGATTTTACTTATTAGCATTTACAATTTTTTATAAGACTCGTCCCTACCTTCAACACTTAAGCTTTTTACCATTTTTAATTTTTTTAAATAAAATATCATAACAGAGAGTGCTGGGAAAGTTAAGCAACTCTCATTGCTGAATTTTTTTTTCTTTGATTTAAATTTGAATCAAATTTATTTGACATTAAATTAACCCTTTTCCTCCTTTTGACAATTGAATTTACCTAGACCAGGGGTGCTGAACCTACATGCATGCTTAAAGTGTCACATAACATAATGATAAATCAAAATCATATGGTGTCTCGATCATTATTTTGGTTATCACACTAACTAGAATAACAAAAGTATGTTTGTTTAATTTCTTTAAATATCATTATTCAAATTCTAAAACTTTGGCATGCATAAACATCTTTAAAGTATGCTTGCTGTATGGTATGGTGTGAGGAATCAAAAACGGTTCACCATCCCTGTCCTAGACCTTAAAACACCAGTCTCTTTAAGCGGTAATTTTTTGTTTTGTCCACGCAAAGTGCCATCTACAAATACATAAAAATTACAACAATAAGACAAAGCAATGAGTAGTAACGTATAACCAGTATAAACCTACATCACCATCTTCCATTAATTCCTTGTTTAATTAATTCCCTGTACAGCAACTGTTCTTCAACAGATGTATCTGTGGCAGCAATTATTCTAACTTTGCTCATCCTTCTAGTAGAAACCATAGCGTGTAGGGGTTGTTTAGTGTGTTAAAGAACTTCCCTCTCAAGAATAATTTAAGATTTCTAGTTTCCAACAAAAGTGAAGGTTCGTAATTTGTAATACTTCTGATTTCGTCAATAGACCTAATGTATTCTTAACATATTTCAATGTTATCCTTCTCTATTGTCAGACAAGAGAAATTACTACACATCTTCTTTATACTTTAGGAGGAGGATTGATTAATTTTTTCTGTTCCCTTCATTTTTTAAAGGTTTGTAAAGATCTTTGGCTATTTCAACCTCTTGTTAAATAAAATTGGAAATTTATTTGTTAAGAGATAAAAGCTCATAAACCATGTAGAAATACTTTTAATTAATTTTTGTATTCTGTAAGTTTGGCTATAGGTTTTGGTGCTTTTTTTGTTGTCGTCAGATAAATGGAGATGTAAACATCAGCCAAAAATTTTATAACTAAAGTCAATATAGGTTACAAAAGCCTTCATTACAAACATCAGCCAAAATGTTTTGTTATATCACCTCCATTTGTCTGACAAGGATGAAAACGTACCAAAATATGTAGCAAAACTTGCATGTTTCTGATGCAGTTGTCTTTCAGTATGATGAAATTATACAAAAACCAGTAGTTTGAATTCAAAGATATTTCGTTGGTTGTTATCAACAACACTGGTTATATTTGATTTGTGTTATAAAAACAAGTTTCTTGTAGTGAATATAGGCAATTTTCTTGTTTCTTTGCATGTGTAGATTGCAATATATAAACAGGAATAAATTAAAAGATATGCCCATCATTTCTTTTAAATGAATAATGTATTGAGGATCTTAAACGTTAGAGTCTTGGCACCTGTACTGTACATGGTATACCTGTGACCCATTCCATTGAGTAAATTTGTTTCTAATTTTCCCTCTGTGTAATATTTATTTTCAATTATTCCATATCATATAACAACATTGTTGCATTACACTCAAATCAGTTTTATTTTGTGAAAATGTCACTTTTGTTCCTGACCATACTACTGATGCCTGGGAGCCATGTAAAGTAGGGGGTCACCCCTACTTTAAGCTCTGTTCTAGAATACTAAGATTTTATGTGGGTAATCGTTGATCTACGACAAGGATGTAATGCCATTTAAAAAGTTGATAACTACCTGTATTCTATTATGTTCTTAAAGGAATAGAACAAACAGATTTTTTTTTAAATTGTTTTTATTTCAAGATGATGTATTATCATTGAATGTTTTTGTAATCATATTACTTCTTTCACTCACTTTCCTGTGACTACTCTGGTAGCCAGTAATGGAGAGGGTACCTTTCCATTGCCAGCTATCAAAGCCATACTACCAGAATGTCTTGCTTTGGTGTGATGGTGCCTGATGTCTCTGAGCTGCCTTTGGAGGTGGCATTAAATTCAGATATATCACTGGAGCACGTTTAAATGTCATGTCCCTATTCAAGCCAGTATCTCCCAAGGCCACAATAACTTTGGTGGATGGCTTCCTGCAAAAGTTTGGGCAAGGATGCACTAAAACTAGAGATAAAAGTTTACTCCATCAACGAATTTATCTCCATAATTGACGAAACAGCATCCAACGGATAATACTGAAGATTCATAGCTCAAACTGTCAAACTTCTGATAGCCCGTGGAGAGCTCACTTCTTCAAATTTCTTTTTCAGAAAGTGACTCATTGACTCCATTGATCAAGAAAGCCATCTAATTCAATTCGGATGTGAGATATACCTGAACCGTATATTCTAAATGCCCTTGTATCGAGAAAATGTTTTCAGCCAAGTTATAGTCACCAAAAAGCCACAATGCTGCACATCCAAAGAATCCAATACCGTCTGCAACTCAGCTTTTCATAAGAAACTAGTTATTGTGTCAGCAATGAGCCAATCACACCATATACAAACAGAACAAGGAAGTGTGTCATCTCTACAGAAACTCAATTACTTCATGTTATTGTGTCTGAACAAGAGCAGTTACCCCCCTTCTTGTTCTACAACTCATCTCCATAAAGCATACTTTACATATTCTATGGGATTTAGGTCTGGAGATAATGCCTGTGTGCAAAATGGTCGGCAAGATCATTGATGAAAATTAAATATGCATCACAGCACTTTGGAAAAGTCTTATTTCCATACCACACTCCTTGTAGTATGGCACGCCTTACACCAAGCTACACATATTGTATAACTTAGCATAGATATGATGCCACATGGCATGTTTGGAATACTGGACACATCTGTCTATAATGTAATTCTGTTTAGAGGTTTTAATTAGTTTTCCCTTCTTGCAGATGATAATGAAGAAAGAACAGTCGTCATCCGCGGTGCACCTGAAGATGCACAACTGGCAGAAAACATCATTAATAAATTAGTAGTGGAACAGCCAGAGATTTTCACAGAACAGATATATGTTCCTTCCAGATCTTGTGGCCGAATCATAGGAAAGAATGGAGAGAGCATAAAGTATAATTTATTGTCATTGCTCATAAGATCCATTATTGGTTGGTGATAAAATTATTTTTATTTTTTCCAGATACATATCAAAAACGTCTAAGGCAAAAGTTTCGGTAGATTCCAGCAGCGAATTCAAGAAAGTCGACGGCCAGACTAGAATCGTTCTACGGGGAACAAGGGAACAGATAGACATAGCCATTGGCCTGATTGATGAGAAACTCGCCGAAGACGAGGCCCTGAGGCGTCAGGTGGAGTTGGTCTCTGCCAATCGGCCGACACGATACAAAGGAAAATTGTGCCTCGAGAATACAACACAGGTTTTTAAATTTTGTTTGTTTGTTTTAGTACTCATTTAACAATAATGTAAGAAAATTTTATCAAATTTTCCTGTAGCAAGGAGCAGAATCTGACAGGCTTCAGGAGTCTCTAATGCCAACTGGATCCGATGGCTTTTTAGAAGTTTTTGTTTCGGCTGTCGAGTCGCCTTCTCAGTTTTGGGTGCAGCTGGTGGGTACCAAGTCAATACAGTTAGATAGAATGGTGGAAGACATGACAAGCTTCTATGGACAACTAGCAAATCAGGAATTGACCAAACTGTCATCTGTCTCGGCGGGAGATCTTGTGGCGGCTCCTTTCCCGCACGACAATCTTTGGTATAGGGCAAAGGTTACCGATGTCGCGGAAGATGACTATTCTCTGGGAGAGAGTAAAGTGACAGTATTCTATGTCGACTTTGGTGATGATGGAACTCTCACGCTAAAGCAGCTATTTGCACTTCGTCCCGAATTTCTGGTGGTGCCATTTCAGGCCATCGAATGCCGTCTGGGAAATGTGGCACCTCGGGACAAAGAGTGGACGAAAGAGGCCATCGAGTGCTTCGAACGGTTGGCTTATAATGCCCAGTGGAAGCCAATAATGGCCAAACCCATAAACTACATTGTCAAAGACACTGATGCAAAAGCTAGCATCGCATGTGTTATGTTAATAGACACCAATTCTGAAACAGACATTAATGTCGCGGAGGAACTAATTAGAAGAGAGTACGGAGTCAGTGTCTCTGAAGAAAAGCCAAAGTAAGCTTTCTTTTGCTCTTGCACATCATCTTAGTCATCACCTGTTAGAGAAGCCAAGATTATGTAAGAAATATGTTAACAATAAAATAAAACTCACGTGGAATTTTAAGTCACAATGTGCCCAGACGTGCTTACAAGCAAACGCGTAACAAAAACATACTTCACATAACACACCATCTTTACTGAATAACTAACAATAGTCTACTTTACATGAATACGTGTGAACAAGATAAAAACATGTAAAAGTTTTCGATATATAAAAATAAATACAGCTTTTAACATTACATGTGGTCTCACTTAAAACACAATTACTGTACAAACAGTAAACCAATGTTAGTCTTTCTCCTTTTGTGCCCCTTAACAACAAACAATTTATTTATTTTTTCGTTTTTCCCCCTATTGTATAAAAGAATTGTCTTGGAAGACTACATTCCCTTTGCAAAGTTGCTACAAGCATTTCAAATCTATTGGTGAGAATACCTTAATGTACATTGACTAAATAGACACTGCATATATACGTAAATATATGACAGTCGTTACATGGCACGTGTTAATTACAAAGAAAGTGGTCGATAGGTCTACGCTACAGAGAGGAATATCTCGTGTACAAGTGCAGTTATCGCTTGCCTTTCGGACATTCCGTTATGATTATTAACAAAGTTTCTTTCCATACAAATAGTGTGTTATGAAAACAATTAGATTGCTCGTCCCTCTATACTCCAACCACTAACTTCAGCAAATATCATTTCTTTTGAACTATACTATGCTAGAAGGGAATTGCGCAGCAACCAGTTTGAGTTCAAAAACCCTTTCAAAGTATGATGTAATGTTAGTAACACTGTTAAAATCCTTTCGTGCATTAAGTGCCACTCTAATCTCGTAACTATGCTTTGCTTATCAACAATAAGCTCAAAATTGTCACATTTATGTACCCCATTAACACTGGGAAATATATGCAGACGCTAAGCTATGCTAGTTTGTATTAGAATAATTATGCTTACTCAATTAAGTACTTTGCTAGTGGCCTGTCATATGGACACAAGTATGTAAGGTGCTTCTAAATTTACAGTTGGCTTTTGGAGGACCCACTACTGTAACCTGATGATATTTTAACTTCAGCTTTCTTACATTTTCTGACCTGGCAGAAAACAACTTGTAAAATATCACAGGAGAAATTTGGTCATATTATTTTGATCCCGCGATACTTTCCAGTGGTTGGAGTACAGATCTTAGAAGCATCTTCGTTATGTAGGAACAAGTTAGAATATTTATAACGTCGCTACTTAGTATTTCTCGCATAAAAATCAAAAACTGCTGCTTTGCCATTCTTAAACGACGGGCATACGCATGCAATTTAAACAATAATTATAGACGATATCTAGAATGTACAAAAACGTGCACACAAGTTTCGAATATATACTGCCAAGCATGCTTTTTGATGTACCATGAACAAATTGTTAGGACAGATTGAAACTACACGTCCTTGGTACATTATGGTACACCTACAGGAGGAAAAAACAAATGTACTGGATAATACAATCGTTTCCTACATGCAAAAAGCCGCTTTAATACTGAAATATTCGGATTTGATTCTCGTGTCATACTCAAATTTGCTTTCGAGAATAACTCGTCAACAATGTAATCTCGCTCGTTCAAAAATAAACTATGGGATGGCTCATTTATCACAGAAGTAACCAAAACGTAATGGCCGGGCACCCTCAAATGCTTAACAATTCGAAAAGACTTAAAAATCTCGTCGCTCATATCACAACATCTCGCAAATAGGCGTCCGTCGGCAGAATTTAAACGCAACTAACTAAATCTTTCGGCAACGCACACGGGAATATTTGACGTTTACAAAAAATGTAATTGTTCCATAGTAAAAATTCTATTCTTTGCATCCTACTTCAGTTAAACTGGGAGAAATTTGCTAACAACAGATATCTACTTTCATTGTATTGCATAAGGCGGAACGGCAAAAGAAATTTGTTTCTAGAGTCGTTCGACAGACTTGATTCTTGCGGTCGTACCTCTAATGCCAACAACCTAATACTGATAACTAGTCGAAACGTAATACTCCTAAAGTGACGGTAATTTATTTAAAATACAAAAGGAAAGAACGAAACGGGACGAGAACTTTGTTCGGCAGAATTCTTAAATTCTGTCCCACCGTATAAAAATGTACATGTACGCTATTATCTTTGTTTTGTATTTGAAATTCGTTTAACTACACTGTACATACTTGGAAATGCTTTCTACAAGTTCTTTTACGGCACTCCGATCACTTCGGAGGGGTGATTTCCACCAGTACCCACGTATAGAGTTTCTTTAAAATGATTTCCAGTCGTTTGTATTTCAAGTTGCTCAGACCATCTGTTTTGTATCGGTATTTACCTCTATACAGCTTGTTGTATCTGTTAAGAAAAACCTTTCTGAGTAATTAAAAGAGGATGAGTCCACGCAAAGAAACAAACATTCTAACCTGTCAGGATTCGGTTCGTCCTTTTTGTGTTTCAGCATCTTGTATCTCGCAATCTTCGAGGAATATCTGGTGATCTGGAGACCGCGGTAACGTATTCTAGACGGAAAGAGTCTTTGAGTTTACGGCAAATGCTTTCGAACGTAAGGAAGGACGCAACAAACCTGTTTGACATGTCGTCGTCTTCTCCTCCCCATCCCCAATACTCGTTTGAAAATCCGTTCACTAGTTGCATGTGTTCTTTACTTAGAGCGCTTACGCCACCAAATATATCTCTATAAGGGAGTCTGAAAGAGAACATAAAATGTAGTCTAATATAAAGACATTTTCTGTGCAGCAAATTTATCATCTTAATTGAGAGAACTTGGAGAGATGTTTCATACCTTATTACTTGTTGCCTGTTATTACCTGTTACGTCAACTGTGCCTGCGACATAACTTATTGCATGCAGTATAACATTCATCATTTAATATGCAAGTCAAAATTTACGAACCAAAAACGTAAGATTACAAATAGTTTGCTATAGTAGAATATATATTATATATCCACCTGTAACGAAGTTTGTCCCAGGTTCACACCTGCATGTAAAATTTCTCACAGTTTTTCTCCCCCTTACAAGGAAATCAAAATCTTATTTTATAACTCTAAACTGTACTTTAAGAATTTCTGCTCATTAATAGGACTAAATTACTATTAACCTATATTTGGTCTACGATGGCTAAGGTACACTTGGATGTTGTTTTGTCTGTGTTGACACACATCTTATGAGGTGCAGGTACAATATGGGTTTCCAATAATAATATTTGTGTGGATAAAACTTAGTGCACTTCCGAAATGTTCTTACTTTCTCCCTTTCTTTAATAAACATTTTCAAGAAAACTGAAGCTAAAAATCCCAAGCGACTTAAAGTAAGTTTCATGGAGCCTTTTGCCAAGGACTGTCCATGGTTATTTACACCTCTGCCTTATATACGAGGGTGGTTTTTCCAACCTCTGATGGTCCATAAAACAAAGACAAGTGTAAATAACAAAAGGAATTTATCACCAAATGTTAGGTACAAAAATGGTTACTTTATGACAATCACTGGGAAGATTGAGGCATTTGTCTATCTGTGGACAAACTTCAAAATCCCCTCTTCATAGAATGTTGCCACCATGAGTTGGGCCTTAACGTTGTCTTCAAGATTGTCGTTAGTCTCAAATCTCTGCCCTGCTAGCCAAGTTTTCAGTTCAAAGAAGAGATGGAAATCTTCACACATTAAAAAGTTCCAAGCTAGGAGGAAGTCTGAAAGGTCACAGTCGTCAGAAGTTTAAATGTCCAGCATACATCCCCGATTTAGCGCCGAGCAACTTCCACCTCTTTCCTGAACTAAAAATGTTGCTTGGAGGGCAAAGGTTTGAGACTAATGATGATTTTAAAAACAACATTATGGCCCATCGCAAGTCACTGGCGGCAACATCTTATGAGGAGGGGATTTTGAAGTTTGTCCACAGATAATCATTGTGAAGATTGACACATTTGTCTATGTCGTAAAGTAACCACGTTTGTACCTAACTTATGGTAATAAATTCATTTTGTTATTTACACTTGTCTTTGTTTTATGGACTATCGGACGTTGAAAAAAAACAGCACAAGTATAATATACTTTGCTGTTGTGCGTGAAGAATAACGAACAAGGTACACAAATTCCAATATATGCTGGTGGTATTTACGGTCAGAACCGACGTAAGAGGAAATCTTTAATTTCGCAGAAGCATGGTGGAAGTTTGATGGAAAGATAAAGTGGAAGGAAATTCGTAACAGCCATGGACTCATATTTTCTTAGTCAATGAAGAGGTATTCCAATTATTATAAGGAGTTGTTTACAGCGAACAGATGTAAAAACTTGCAAACCACACACACAAATACGGCCAGTTATTGAAAAATGCACTTCTATTTCTTAATAGAAAGACAGCTAATAAAGTTTTCAACAGTAAAGTGATGTTGGCAAAGGTAAATGTTTTCGAAATTTTTATACAATAACACAACTCTACAGAATCCTTCTGGTTCTATACCCGCAGAGAACTACTGATTGAAAGCAAAAATGAAATACCTCAGTGGTAGAATTAAAGAATATAAACGAGCAATGAATAAAGGTCTAAGCAACACTAAGGGTCCAAGTGTTGGAGGAATATAAGGTAATGTTTATTTTTGTTATATTGTCTGTATTGCAAGTATATTTGCTTTTCACAGCTATCTTTTTAATAGAAAATAAATAAACAAAATGTATAAACCAATAATTTAGAATTTCCTACGTAAAATTTGCATTGATTTAAAAAAAGTTGTTCATCCAAGATCTAAAGTTATCCGAGGAAGGGCATCACTAAGTCGTGTGGATTTCAATGAAAGGTTCTACGAAACAGTTGTAAATCACATGGGATTTTCTTAAAATTCATTTGCAAAGCGTCTTTCTCTCTTTGCACAATAAATATTCATATTAAGGGTTATCCACGTAATTATTATCATCGAAATCCCTGCAAATCACATTTTAAATGTCCCTCGTTAGTGCAGATTCTTCACATTCTATGTAATACAAGCTAGATCTAAAGCATAACAAAGTTCCTTACTTCATCATGGAATACAATTCAAGAATAATACTTTAAGTTATTTATTTACAGATTCTTGTAAACTGGAAACAATTTTTCAAAATTCCAGCAAAATAACAGATTAATCGATTAGTCCATAGAATGAATTGTGCTAGTTAAGAATGCAATTGCCACTAAACGCCAATTAGTCTGTAGGAATCGAGTTTGCTTTACAGAAAACTCAATTTGTGTGATATCATTCTACATGGCCTGGATCCACTATGTTGGATTTTTAGTGTGGCAGCCTCAAAATGCTCGCGCACAATGAAAGGCTTTTCTTCTGTTGACAAGTTTACACTTAGCTTAATGAAGAGGTTTCATTACTCACAAAGCAAAGGTATGTCATAATTACATTAGTTTAAAGGAAAGATATGTTCAAATGTAACTTCCAGATGGGAAAGCAGTTTGAAAAATATTTAATGCACAACCTTTCCCGAATTTGTAACGAACCAAAATTGTCGATTTGTGTTTAAAAAAAATATCGTATTTTTTAATCTTACTCACTTATAATCCATCGTGTCGACTGCCACGGACATGTGTCTGGGTTGCTGGGGGCAAGTGTAAAGGTTCCTGTCGTCTTCGGGTATCAGGTCGACGTCGTGAAAAATAAAACACTGGTAGTTGTATTGCTTCAGAGCTTCGACGAAGCCTATATTCATCAGCATCGCTCGATTGAACTTTGTTTTTCCCGCCTAAAAGAAGATTTTAAAATATTACATACCAAGTTATACGAACGGTACGGGAAGAGCTTTAGTTTACGTACAGGCCAAGCAAAAAATTAGGCAAAACTTCAAAAATTCAATAGATAAGGAGGAGGCTAAATGCACCCATCAGAAAAATGATGTACGCAGACACAAATAAGTCCCAAAAGTAGTTCAATAAACCCATTTTGTTACATGCCAGTGCCATCAGGAGCAGAAATTGTAACTAAAATTTGCATAAAATGCTTGTACTTTGACAAAATCACGTAATGTTCTGACTAAGTCTGCGTGTATTTAGTCAAAAACTTGCCTAGATATGAAATTTTTGGAGTTATGCCCAACTTCTTGAACTTAAATTATTCAACAAATTCAGGGCTGTGGAGTCGGAGTCGTGGAGTTTTGATGTTTTAGCCGGAGTCGGAGTCGGATGGTAAGGAAAAGTCGGAGTCAGTAGATTGTTACGCGACTTCCACAGCCCTGGCAGGGCTGTTGAGTCAGAGCCGGAGTCGTGGAGTTTTGGTGTTTTAGCCAGAGTCGGAGTCGGATGATAAGGAAAAGTCGGAGTCGGAGTTGGAGTGGGTAGATTTTTACGCGACTCCACAGCCCTGAACAAATTTTACTTCTATTTATAATTATAATATACAAAAATCACTATACAAAAATGTTTATGCCAAATATAGACATAAAATACTCTATTGATGGAAGAATTAGGTTCAGCTCTGTCACGAGAACAGTAACATGTTAGACATCCATTTTATTGTTTGTTAAGATTACTCAAATTTAAAGTGACGTTCAAATTAGAGCTGTAGAATGCACTAACTGCACAAAAAGAAAAGCTGGTGCTGTGACAAATTTGGCTCTCGAAATGGAATTGACCCAAGTGCTCCAACATGAACGTGATTTAACATGCTTAAACATGAATTTGGAGCGTTCTTAGCACTCAGAGAAGCATCTTAATCATACTTTTGGGAAAGAACAAACAATCAAACTCTATAATGTTCTGCAAATTAGGGTGCAACTATGCAGACACGAATTTAGAGCAAGCAAGAGGTTGCGAGCGATTTAGTTTTTGCAAAGGAAAACCATGCACAAACGAGAAGTGAGAAATAACGCTAGTGAGAGCGAATTTCTGGTTCTTGCACATATCTGACAGGTTTTGATATTTTATCGCTTCTCGCCACGTATTCTCGCTCGCTTGGAAAATTTGCACGCTTGCGTCTGCATAGTCGCACCCTTAGAGTTTTCTATCTTTAAGACAATAGTTATGACTCAATGGCAGAGTTGATCTATTCCTAAAGAATTATGTCTTTACTCTTTACTATGTTAAAAAGACCCTTAACATCAATATAATTATGATCAAAAGTTGCTGTAAATGCTATCTTCTGATATTAAATTACGTTTTATTCTCCTCTGTCATTAAAGTAAGTTTATTTTTTACAGTACAACCCACAAGAGGCAGAACTTTCATGGCAAAACACACAAAAACTGGAAATATTGAAGTTATTTACGCATATACCCCATCTATGATAGAACCTGTAACATTTCAGAAATACTTTTCCTTCTTTGGGCCATGGTTCCAACTTGCCTAAGACGGAAAAAACTGCTTTACACCATCAATCGGAATTCTGTCACACATTTATCATCCCATTATTTTTCTTTGGCATTAATTTAATATCAAAAGAGCATTTATGGCAATTTTTTTATTGCGTCTTTACTATTTCACTTGCCTCTTCAATGATATAAATGCCATAATCTACGAGCTGTCTCTGTAAAATGGGATGTATGTTATGAAGAAAAATTCTTAAATGCTTAGCTCTGTCTCGATACGGAATAATTATGGCAACTTTGTGGAGTGCCGTGCAGTCCTCCGGCCAGTATCTCCCTCCCGGTTTCAGGTTACTAAACATGGTTTCTAGTTCTTCAAAAGACGGTGCTTCGGTCATCACTCTCAGTGGACCGACTGAAAGAAACAAAGAAGTGCATTTGGGAAACCGAGAGCTCGATAAATAAAGAATAGAGTAAATTCTTACCTAATTTGGGTGGCACCAGAGGACAGGGTGGCAGGACTTTTGTTCCGTTAGAGGTAGTTGAGTTTATAAATACAGTTTTGGAAGACAAACCTAATATCTGAGCTATGTTTTCGTCTATCGTCTCGTTGGGAGACATCTTCTCCGACAGCCCCAGTATCTGCCTGAAGGACGAGATCCAACCGAATCTGGTGGGATTTTCGCCGCTCGCCGTTCGATGGTGCACGAGCACGTTGATGATGTATTGCATTATTAAAAAAGCCAACACTATGGCCAGCATTAGCTTATAGAAGTGTAGTCTGACGAATTGTACGGCATTGCTACACGAGTTATTCGAAGACATGATATCGACGTTAAGAGCGTGTTCTGAAAAGAATAATATAGCTCGGAAATACTGTTGCGATACAGGTGTACTATCCTTGTGCATTTCTCCTCATTGTAATGAGACATCACTGCTCTTTTGGTTCAAAGAGTGGCTAGTTCTCGTCGCAGCTTTTTGACAGATCTGAAATAATTAAAATAAAATGTATTAAATCAAGAGTAAATTTACTTGCTCCATTTGACAGTCACAAAAATCTAGGATTTTAACTCGCGTTTCTCATCTAAGATAACAGATACGAGGTCTGGAGTGCGACAATAGAGTTTAGAAGAGAGACAGATAGTTAGCTCTTTATATCTCTAGATACAATGAAGAGCCAAAGCTCTCATATAATGTCTACAGACTAACAATGGAACACACTATGGCTTTCTTGCGTTGTTTTAGTGTTCCTTAGATGCAAGCTCCACCGAGTATACCGAATCCTCGATAAACTGATTTTAAACTCCAACAACTGTCAACATATATAAAAATTTTAAAAGTTAAACTAGAGTAATATTTTTAACCAATTCTTTCATGGATAATACCAGTAACAAGCATGTAAGTTTTAGTCTTTTAATTGGACTGTCGTACCTATAAACATTTCAGTGCTCTCCGAGCGGAAAGAGGTCTCTGACCCACATTCCCAAACTTCCTTTTAGTAAAAAAAATACACACAGACAGAAGAAAATGCCTCACTTCTAGTCATGTTTTAGAATCTTTACGTCATCTTCGAGTGCATATCGCCTCTACATGCCTCACATTTGGACGCTCAAAAAGTATAATTGCCTCCAGCAGAATTGGCATCTAACAATAACAGATGAGGCAGGTGGACAGAAACTATACTAACATAATGAATGGAGAGAGAAATTTCTACTAGCGCTTGCATTTTACAAGGAAAATGCTTAAATATTCCCATTCCCAAATCATTATGACATTAAGTGTTCAAGGACAGGAAATAGAAAAAAAACTACTTAATTTCTCTCCTTATCTCTTGTCAGTTTTTTTATTATTAAACTTTCACACTTCAATCAATTTATAATACTTTAAGATGCACTTTAGACTTAATTTTCAAATTAGTATGCATTAATACACTTAATCAACACAAAAAACCTCAATTAAATGTGTGAAAGACTGCACAAAGACGGCTTATCGTCTGGACGGATATCGAATTTCTACATCCTCGCAAAAAATGTCGAGCGCACATTTCAGGTAGCCGACTTATAAAAATGATTAATAAATTCATTTTTTATTCTCCAAAGACGAGTAACAATTACCATAATTAACATAATTTATAATAATAATCGTCTTAAAAATCTCCATTACTAACTTAATCCTGGCACGGGGCCAAGGGACGGAAAAAAGTTACTCGTAAACGGTTAAACAAGTGCCGCACCGACTCTAATGATCCCGCAATTTTAGAATTAGGAATAATGCGGCAAATAGTCACACTTATTACTTTATTCCTGCGAGATGGCAGGTGTACCGTAAAAATTATGATATGCCAGACGTAATATTCTATCACAAAGCCACATATTAAGTGTAATTATTATAAATAATTCACATAAAAACACATCTAACTAATGCTAAATTATTTAAAGTCGAGTTAACCGAGTATATTCAATTATTCACAATTAAATTGATGACGACCGTCCCGGCAGCAGGTCACACAGCAGTAATTGAAATCTATTATTATTGGGACAGTGCCTTATTCAATTATTAAACAAGTAAATTGATAAATAAATTGACAATTTTGTAGGAGTTTTGCTTAAAACGAATACAGAATATAACTTTTTATGGTCATTTCGATGTAGTCTGTCAATTCACAAGCAGTTTTTATGATTAACAGATGTATATCATTACGAGCGGCATATGTTTGACATGTGAAGAGTGTTTTTTACTTACACTGCTTTTGGCAATACCACAAACAACACAAACACTTTGTAACAATTAAAAATAGGAAAATACACAGCATGACACTAGAAAAACACACTAATATACCAAATACTGGTTATAAAAATAACAATTGATGCTCTACTGAACAAACATTAAGTTTGTACAAACGACTCTGTACGCAAATAAAGTGCTAGTGACTTTTTAACAAAGCGTCGTTTGTACAGAGTACAATTTTCCTGCCTGTTACACAATTTCATTCATTCATTCGGTCCGAACGCATGATCGAAATAATGGATGAATGGATTTCCCCTACAAACAAATGACTATTGTTGACAGAATATGGAACAAGGAAAAGATTGTCAACGTTTATCGGAAAAACGTCCCAAACCGAGGGAATGATTTATGACATTTGTTTTTTATGACAGGTGAATTAATTAAACAAATGACATAAACTAGTAACGTATAGAAAATACGAGTTATTGGGCGTAAGATAATAAGCCATAAATTGTTTATATATATAGTTCGATTGCAATTTGACAAGTACATAATTTGTTTCCTTTTAACAGTTGTCCAATATACTAGTTACAGAAATCATTCTTGTATTTTACATTAGTGTAACTGTACTTAATCATCACCACTGAATCTATAGTATGGAGGTGATACAATTTATGAGGACAAAGCGAAGAAAAAATGGCAATAAAACACCAAAAATTAAGCTCAAAATCCATTACCAACTTTAGCAAATACGGATTTAATAAGAAAAAATTTATCTGGAATTTATTTCCAAGGGACTAAGCAGGAAATGACTCATACATTTGAGTGCAGTGTATATATATATATATATATATATACACACACTTTGACGAACATTTAACAAATTGTATATACACACCTGTCTCTAAAAAATGACATGTCGGCAGATCATGAAAATTACTTATTTTATTTTAATATTGTTCCTCTCTCATCAAGAGAAACCCTCTATCCATTAAACTCGGTTCTCGTTTACAGCGGAGGTATTATTCTAAAACTGAAAAGTTATTTGTGGTAATTCGAAATGTTCGATACGATCCATCTCATACATGTTGGGCACCGTCCCTCCCTTTGAAGGCTTCTTCGAACCTACAACAGTTCGAAGAAGACCCTCTTGCTGGCATAGAAAGAGTAAAAAGAAATTTAATTTAGTTCAAACTCTTCTTGGAGAAGGAAATACATTAAAATTCTAACTGATTTACAAGTAATTTAAGACCCAAATTATGTTATAAATATTCTGCATGGGAGCATGAAAATATTAGTTTATGCACAAACAATATAAAAAGAAACATTGAATACGACATTGAAATCTACAAAATATGTCATAAAATGTGCATCTAGATAAACAATATAAGTTGGAGTAAATTCTTTGGATGATACATACGTCCGGGATGCTCCAAGATGTATAAAATACACAGGATACGCAAAGATTCTTCGGTAGAGATGAAAAATCATGGCAGTTTGGAACTATTCTGAGAAGAAAAGAGATGCATGTTGGCAAGAAAGCCGTAAGAATAGAGTTTTAAGGAATGCAAGTGGGGTACCGCAATGAAATGCATGAATGATCTTCTCCCTGGAAGACTTTCAACAAGAAATTAGCCCCTATTTAAGCATTAGCATGCAGAAAAAACCCAAAAAACTCCATACAGCCAATTTTTCTATCAGGCATGAACCCACAACAAACAGCCGACATTCAGCAGTTCACATCAACAGAGGATTGGACAAGTTAGGACAACCCAGAGGAGGTTTACTAAGAAAATATATTATCTAATTTATTTATGAAGTTAATTTTCTTTTTTATTCGCCTCAACTAAATACAGATATTAATCATCATTTCTCTCTTTTTTTTCGATTTAAATTTTATCCTTTAACTAATTTTAATGACCTCTAAATATCAAATTTCATTAACTTTCAGGTATCGAATGAAAATCTAATTTAAACTGTAGCTTATTAATTTTTGAGATGCAAAGGTTTTGAAACAAGAAATAAAATTGTGTTTTTATTAGTTAACATGTAACATGACCCGAATAGTAATAAGAACACACAAAATCAAAACAACAGAACAAAAGGATAAACGCCACAAATATATTCATAGAACACGTCTGTCGAACAATAAACATTAAAATAAAAACGAGAAAATGCGCACGATTCTTTAGTGTTTTATATAGTTGACTTGTCTCTAACGTATAAGAAGAATGCGATATTTATTTCGAGATGTGAACCTTACGCCTAAATAACAAAACAAGTCTGATATGCTATTTTTAGAAGTCGTGCTAAAGGTCATTCAATTAGAAAGCTACGATATGATCCGAGGTATACATAGAACTTAATTACACTTCTGAAATACTCCAGAAAGCAGAAATATTAAATATATTCCATTACTATTTGAACACAGACATTTATGTTAACAACAGACGACTGTCTTGATGTTGGCCTTGCAGTATCTTAACTCTACGCAAGTGTTTCTTTCAATGGCTTAAGTTTAAGCTTGGGCTGTCAAAATATAAGAAAAAAAGCAAAAATATGATCAAATCAAGTTAACCAAATTAAAGTTATATATATACCAGGGTTGTGGAGTCGGAGTCGTGGAGTTTCGGTGTTTTAGCCAGAGTCGGAGTCGGTAGATTTTTACGCGACTCCACAGCCCTGGCAGGTCTGTTGAATCGGAGTCGTGGAGTTTTGGTGTTTTAGCCGGAGTCGGATTATAAGGAAAAGTTGGAGTCGGAGTCAGTAGATTTTTATGCGACTCCACAGCCCTGATATATACATACAAATACATTGTCAGATCCATGTTCCCCATCCAAATCTTTTACATTTTTATCTGCAGGATCATCGAAAGATGCTAGTGCATGCTGCTCGTATTGACAATGCAGACATGATGCTGCAATTCATTGTTCACGTCTGCACAGTCATTTGTGGAAGGGCCAGAACCTTCAAAAGTGTATGCAACTCTGTGCCCAGACATTTCTATGCATGCATATACACTTGTGGAGAGCATTTAAAACATTTCAATTGAGATTTAATACGAGATATGTAATAAAATCTATCTTGCACCTGACATTGTGTATAGTCACACATTCTATTTCAAAGACAACAATTAAAAACTCAAATATAAAGTCTTATGCAAGTATGAAGAATTGATATTTAAAAAATATTTTTCTCTCTTCCACGTAACCTCATTTAAACCACAGAAAAAAACTACAGGTAATCTCTTTGTAATGTTA